TGGTTCGCTATTGGGCATGAGCACATGAGACATTTTCTCCAATACCTCGGTGTTACATATCGTAGTTTTCATGTGAGGTGAAATGTAATCACACACAGACAAATTTGCTGTCTGGTATCAATTTTCACTAACGCAAAGCTGTTTCTCAGCTGTATTCCACAGCCCATTTCACCAACTGCTTCTTATCTAGGCATAATTATGAATCACTGACCGTTGAATTCCTTTTTAACTTAACACTTCATAGTGGATAAAACTGCTATTGTTTCTTCCTCAATGATTTAGCAATTTACACATTGTAAACCATTGATGTAAACAACGCGGTGCCCTAAAATGACTGGTTAAATCCATCTCGTAGAACCAAAGTAGCGCTGTATTGAGCTATACGCAAAGTGTAGCAAACGTAAGCTTATAAGTGAAGTGTAATATACTGACCTAGGCAAAAGGCGTCTTTATTTTAAACCATACGTTTCTGCTTCTGTTTCGATGGCTGTTGAACTGAAACTTTGAAATAATTCGAAAAGTGTGCTCAAGGTTATTATGACCCGTTACAAAAGCCGATAAAGATATATAGATATACCGCATAATAGTTGCCACCCGTTGTGTAGGCTTGGGCAGATATATTGTCAAGCTAAGAAACGGCAGTTCAAGCAAGATGTCAAAGTGCAAACCTGGTCGCTGCGAGAAGCACATAAAAATAATTAAATTATTTTTTGCACTGCATTAGCTTTAGTTATCACAGCGATAAAAGTGATACTTGTTATTCAACTGCAAAACAAACAACCTAAAGACATATAGCGGCTTCGGAATATTATATATTAAGTAAATAGCTAGTAAGCTAAGGTAAACCAGTACAGACGACGTGACAAATTCTCCAGATACATAAGGTAGAATGACAAATTTCACAAATGCCAATGAACTAGTGTTCACACTCCAAAATATTAAGTAGTATAGATGCAAGTATTTTAAATTCTCCGATGAGCATAAATGGATTGCATTGGAAGTGTTCAGAGACATGTAGACTGTATTTCTAAACGATAATGTTCTCAACGTCTCAGATATTCGGGAAAAGCTTTTAAATTTCATTAGGTTTGCAAATATTTTAAACAGGTTTATTTGCTCCATGTCATCAAATAAAAGAAAACACTTTCTTTTCACTTTGCAGGTTTTATAAAAAACTTCCTTGGTATGCTATTTTACATGTTTTTAAAATGGCACTGTTGCATTTAAATGATTTTTCCAGCACAGGTATTACCGGTTTGCTTATAATATTATAAACTATAATCCAAATTGTGAATATGTTTGGGGTTCAAATTTTTGCCCAGAAAAGTATTTCCTGCATTGCACCATCTATACCGCTTGTAGTCTGATGACTTGTTGCTTGCAAACTGCGTATAAGCTTAGGTATCTCGTTTTGAATTTCGTTTAGCCGCGTGTGCCGTTTTTGAGTACATAACGACGTTATTTACAATTACATGTATAGATTTAAAATTTCCAAGCAAATTGATCAAAGATTATCTAATAATTTACACCTGAAACAACGTTAATTAATTTTATTTGCTTAACCTTGTATCATCTTATCTAACGTGGGGCGTGTATAGCATTGCAGGTTGCTTCACCCAGAGGACGGGTTTTGCTACGCAATGAAACGCCACATTTAGGGGATAATTTAGCTAGTTTTGTTTAGAAAGCTTAAAACTGTAAAGCGTGTTCAGCTCTTAGTTATAATATATTTTAACGGCAATAAATGATACATGCGAGGTTAAATAGTATTATAACGCTCACAGTATCTTCATGTGGGACTGCGTGAAATATTTTATGCATTTGCACCGATTTAGGGATTCTATTGGAGCGACAAATAGTTGATTGTGTGATAAAGAAAAGTTAGGTGTACTTAATGAACAGTCCGCTTAGGCGGTAAGTAAACAACACAGTTTTAAAAAGTTAAGGAAATGTAAATTTTGCCAACATCTAGTTTTGTTGATTAAAGATAGCGAGCTTACTTACGCATAACACATGTTGAGCATCAAGCAATATATTTGATTACTTTAAGAACTCCGCCTCAAACAATTAGGCTTTAGCTGCTTGCAAGTGTGCTATATAGTTGCAAGCCATTGCATTATGATTTATCCAGATCAATAACGAATAATTTTTCCAACAAATGTATATGTGTGGCCATAATATTCCATGGATACGTAGCCCGCCTCACCGGTGTGAGCAGACATCCGTCCTATGCCTCCTGGATGAATGTCTATAATAGTCGGTAAAATTGCGTTTGGCCACAGCTATATTCTGGAGAATACGGCAAATCTTTTGAAAAACATCTACAAATAATTTGAAAAATTTGGTTCACATCCTTCTCATCTTCGAATATTATCTCAAAGAACTCTTTAGATACCTTGGCATTATTCCTTATCCACCTTGCCAGTGGTTAGTTCTCTTGCGATATCAGATATTTCCTTTATTTGAAGTCATTATAGCATGGATAACTTACATTCCTCACATGTGTGGTTCACTAAATTTCTTATACACTTCTGATGAATATCGACGGTGGTCTATACCATTGTGCTTGGCCATACCAGAATAAGGTAGACAAGTGTAAGTTCCTCAAGTCTTATCCTCTACCGGCTAGAACAATCGCATTTTTACTTTGGAAACATGACCCAAAGGATATATTTGGGTGTTTTTCTTCCCAACACTGGCACCCCATACCCAGTTTTGGGAAGCGCAACACCCAAATATATCCATTCAGGATAAGGTCTTCGAGATCGGACTGACTGAGGTTTACCTCAGAGTGAGCCGAGGTCTTAATAGCGGTTGCGAGTCGCAACCCAACCACACAGCGTGCTTCCAAATTCAACTTGAATGACCAAAAGGCTTTATTTTTATGCAAACGTTATACTTGCATGCGACTTATATCTTTCACGCACCTGCCTGCTACACCCTCCTCACCAGTGGATGACCTTCTAAGATAATGATAAGGTATATGTTTTTCCGACCTTAATTACTTTGAGATTCTGGCTCACTCGTAGAACTCTCATACCACTCTCCGTAGTCTTATCTCCTTCCATTATCACCGGTATCAACCGTTACTAGTGAATCCTAACTAAGATTATCCATCAGCTAACGGAAAATAAGTTGCAAAATGACTGCGATTAGCCGTGCGGAAAATCGGTCTTATAAAACGTTGCCAGTGACTTATTCCTATTAAACTTGTTGTCGAGGTCTGTTTCAGAAAGTCCTGAGTTTTCACCTGGCAAGCTTTTTCCCTAAAAACCCATACATGACCGTTTAACAGCTATGCGAGTAGCAAATGTGGCTCGTCAGCAAAATAAAGTCACTGTATACAGTTAAACACTGGCAATTATCCAAATAACCGAAATTTGTGAGCGCAACGGTAAATGAACAAAATTGCAACCTTTGTTCAAGTGTTTATCAAACCTACTATGTCATATCTACGCCCAGGGAATAATGGAGCTTAATATCTGGAAATATTCGATCCTTGACCCAGTTCCTACTGTAAAGGAAACTTATATTTTATCACGCTTCAGGTCCACATTTATATCTGATTCGAATGAACTAGCCCATCATCCTTACAACATTCCTAAACGAGAGTCATATACCATTTTTCGAACCATACGTTGCCAACACTTACCTCTGTCGATTGATGTACATAAGGTCAATATGTTTCCATAACTCTGAAAACTAATCGATTACGCCTGTACCAGTGTGTCTCTTTTAGCAAGAAAAAGCAAGATTTATTTAATTATTTAAACATTACGTATTTGATGGTGTAAGCAAAATCCGAGTTTATGGAAATGAAATTTGTTTAACCAACTGTAAAACTAACAATTTAATGTGCAACTTCTTGGCAAAGTGCTACGTGAATATTTCGTGTTTCAAGTGTTAACGGTGAAAGACAACCAAGTGTATGCTATTCGCTTTTGTAGTTCTTATCAATAAGTTGCTTGCTTCTCTGACATAATTTTCGCACTAAAAGTTCCAACCGACGCATTTTACGTAACGCACTCCATGAAAAACGGTTTTTTAATGCTATATCCGTGAAGTAGACATGGGAGTATAAGATCTTAGTTTCTGTTGTTTCATTCGAAATAACATTATTCCTGGCAACGCATTTTACATGGAACCGGGATTGGCGAAGCTTTTGTGGTCAAAGGCAAAATCCCTTGTAAGTGAAGCAAATGTAACAAGAGTAAATGGGGTACAGCTCATGCATTAGGGAACTAAAAACCTAAATATTCGTTATAAAAATAACCGTGGTTTCTTTTGGTTTGGCAGCAAATGAAAATCGTTTTGTATAACTGCGAGATAATAATTAGATTCGCATTGTCCACTTTTTATTATATATACAGCTAATCTATACTAAACATGCTTAAACTATTAAGCTCTACAAGAGATTGAACCGGGGTTATATATATATAATCAAAGCCGCTGTTCCATTCCTTGTTTTTAACTGTCATATATATATATATCAACATACCAATGAATGCATCCCTACCTAAAGTTTGGTTATTGCAACTGCTGTCCCTTGGTGAGATACTTACCAATTTTCATGTTGTTACTATTCAAGGAAAGACTGCAACTAAAGCGTTTAAAGGAAAAGAGAAATTATGCAAAACTCTTTGTGAAATCGCTTCTTACAACGTGGCGTCTGTTTAACATAGCCTTAATGGTTAGATATAAATTCTGTAGTATACTGTTGGCGACTTTCAAAAACATTAGAAAACTTGCTTATATCTTATAAAAACACAGCAAAAGAAGACTTTATTTACCTTGTGCATTTGATTTTGTGATGTAGTGGGAATTTTTCTATGGAACCCAAACAAATATTGTGTTCTTAAGCGCCTAGTGTTAAGCAAGTGGTTGATTTAACGTTCTGGAAAAATACGCTATGTCCGCGGAATGTGTTACCGCATGCATTCATACTATTACTATCGTCTTGTTGTAATGACAAGTTTACCCACGGCATCTTCTTATTTTAGGTGATATGACATTTTTCAACGGAAGTGATACCAATTTAATTTGTAAGTTTTAAGATGAAATTATACTGCAAAAACTGTAGTATAATTTATTTAGGAAAAATAGATCATGTAACCGCTTAAAAGTCATATACTTAATACAGTATGAATACCAAATTCTTATCCATTGCATTACTATTTAGAATTAGGTTTAACCCATATTTTCTGGTGGATATTGTGGACAAGTGCTAACATTTGGATGTACAAAAATATTGTAACACTTAAACTGGTTTTAATAAAACCACCTTAAATACACTACACCTTAATATTTTAAAAACCATTCTGTCTAATAAAAATATGAGAGGCAATTTAAGAAAACGTACTCAAGTCAACTTAAAACCAAATAGGCTGTATACACCTGAATATATGCATTATCAACAATTACACTGTTATTGCTGATACGCTGAATGAGTGGGATCAGTTAAAAGTACATAAACGCAGAGTAACGAATTAAGTAGTCAGATGTAGATGAACGTCGTTAAAGCAACCCCCTGCGCGAAGCAGTTGTGAATCTTTTACTGTCGACAAAAATGCGGAACAATGTGGCAAGATTATATTGCGACACAATGAGGTGCAAAAGAAAAATCCTAAATTGTGTGCTTATGTTAAAGACCTAACGTATGTGAGAGTGCATTATCTAGCGAATGAAAGAGGCCAATTATGACCTTAGAAGAAACACTTTGTAAATCTTTAAACGCATAAGAGAAACAAAATGCAGTATGGGGTCTCTCGGTAAGCCACCACCTCAATCATATGTTTAGTCGATCACATAACCAAACCGTAGTACTTTTGCAGTTGTCCAACGTAGAGTACTGAGGAACAGCAAAACCAATGGGGTAGTATACATGCAGTTACAAATCGCTGTATAAGGCTCCGAGGTACGTGTGGTTTTTGAGTCTAAATGTATGAAAATATATCCTCTTGACCTTGTATTCTCCACAATGTGCGTGGAACAAGAGAGGTATTGTGAAAAAGAGACACCGGGATATTTGAAATTGGATGAAATAGGAACGGTTTTGTCCTTCAAATTACTTTTATGTGGCATCTAAAAATACGCGCAAGTTATCAAAGCGGCGAATTGAAAATGTTACCTCAATACATTCCAAAGCATAACGATTAATGGGCATAGTTGAGAACCAACTCATGTATTCTTCTTAACCAAATTGTAGTGTAGGCATCTCAATGGACGGAGCCCCACAACTCAAGAGCAAATCCTCAGCAGAGTTACATCAAAAGAATGTTAAACATATGGAGAGCATTTTGATAAATAAAGAGGATGAAGGGGGTGAGAGGATCGCGCCTAGAAAAATACTACAGTTAGCGCAGATCAGTAAGGTGTTTTTGCAGATTAACTAGGTATAGCGCGTACGAACATTAAAATATCCACGCAACAAGTTATACACTTACGGGTGGACTCCATTCAAATGTAACAGGTAGCGCAGAACTAAACGACCAAGACTAGCGAACGCATTTCAATTTTCAAGAAAAATAGGTCTTACTCACCAACAAATTTTAGCTAAAGCCGAGGCAGCTGAATGCAAATTTTACGAGACCGTATTAAATGTGGAGCGCAGGGGTCTAAAAGCAAAATGATAGGAAATATCAACAGGAATGGCCGTAAAAATCCATGAAACTGGTAACTTTTCGAGAATATTTAAGTTCACGAAAGTATATGCGGTGAACCGATATTTTTGGGCACCTAATTAGGTGTTGGTGTTATTCCGACTGATCCAGAATGTTACCGGTCATGAGACACTTGTTAGAAATTTCAGTTATGGGTAACGTACGGGATGCAGCAAACTGCTTCTAAACCACTAGTAATAAAAAATCAGGCCAATAGCCTTATTTGAATTTAATTTCTGGCGTTATCTGTCGACGTCAACTTAATCTAATAGGGCAATTTACCTAAGCTAATGTAGCGGAGCAATAGAAAAGCGCTTGATGGAATGGAATTTAGTTCAGCATTTTAGCTTGCTGACGAGTAGTAGGTGTAATTCTGATAAGGTTTTTATCCCAATAGTTCACAAGCTGCATAGCAAAGCCTAGTTCGGAAAAGCGCCAGACACGTTTCGACTTATTGGGGCATGTCAGTGGCGCGCATTCCCTCGGTCCATTAAGGAGGATCGAACCCACTAGAGGCAGATGCCGACTAGCCAGTAGCTTAAGGCATTGAGCCATGGGGGCGTCGGCTGGGATATACAATTTGCAAACTAACTGGGCTATAGCATCACCTACCTAACACTGTAACTGACAGCGGTTAGCCTGCGAGGTGATGACGTCCTCTCACTAGACGCTGCATCCATAGCATTTGAAACTAGGACTATTTTATATTATATTACTCATGAGTAGCCGGATTTTATTTGTGATTCTGAGAAGGCTCATCGCAACAGTTCAGAATTGTTTGGCAACATTTTCTATCCCGTAAAACCGATGTTGCTTTTACCTAAGCTTTTCTTCAATAGCCTCCACAGATCACGGCAGTTATCGGTTCCCAGTACCGTTTCAACGTGTGAACTTTTAGTCTTGTAATTTCAGAATTTAATTGCTAAAGCCAGGCTTTTGGCTCTAGCGGTTATTTTTCTTTAGAATTTGTTATCGTAATGTTGGATAAAACCTATCTGTTCGCAGGTAGATCGTCTAGATAGCGCAGGGTAGGCTGCAATGAAACTTGCCTAATTTGCGCGATTATCACGTTGAGCGGATAAACCTTAATCTGTAAAACTGCAGGTTCGGTTGAGGCAAGTCTTGCTTGAAATCGTGCGATATTTTCCGCCGAGTATTATCGCTGTCGGATAGGCCTTGTTATCGTTTAATTAATTCAGCACAGTTTGTTTTACTGAATGTGTTAATCTAATGTTATATGCCAGTCTGCGTTGATTAGCGGTGCTTGCTTTGAAAGGAAAGCAAATGAATTTGAGTCAACAGCGGCAAGCTGTTGACGTTTTCCGTTCCAATAAGTTACCACTTTTGCCAGATGAAGTGACTTAAAGAGCTTTGTATCACATTTATTAAATCAACTAGCAACCACACAGACAACGCATACTGGTTTCGGCATCAATACTGAAGAACATCGCTCTGTTAGGAAGTTTAGTTCCGAATATTGTGTATCCGAGGATAGGTGTTAATATGCTATAACAAAGGATTGGATGCTCCCAAGAAACTCAGGATTTCATGTAAGTAAATGACAGGTAATAGAGTCTGTAAAGTGGGTGAAGCTTTGATCGCCTCAGTTGCACCATACTTGGTTAAAGGATGTGAACACGCCGCCACTACGATTCCTGGACAACTGGAATTAATCGCACGGTATCGAATGACGTTTATAACATCAACTACAAATTTAGGGTGCAATCAGCCTTCTTGTAATCTAATTATACTGGCGTTTATATAATCTTTTCGTCGTATAGTATCTGGGACGTCGGAGATTTTTCCTAGCAATAAACGCACGTCACCAAAAAGGATGCGTTGTAATTACATATTCTACAAACTGCATGGCCGGAGGCGAACTAACCAACTTGCGGAACATTTTCCCTTTGTGCCAGAATGTTTCTCCACAGTCCGTTTGAAAGTTTTCTTGGCTTAATGACAATAACTGACAAAAGGTTTTTTAAGTGCCGCACATGGAAATGATTTACATGATTTGACAGAGTAGGATAACTTTGATAACTGGGATGTATTTCTGTTAAAGCAAGCGGGTATAGATTCTAATTAGACAGCCTAAAATAAACCATATTCCAAAAGGCTGCAGCAACGGCCAATTCGAATGTCATTAGACACACAAACAAAACTGGCCAGTTCATACATACTAAAATGTCTCTGTTGTACCACGAATAAGAACACGCAACAGCATTTAGTCCGGACCGTATGAGTCTAAACCTAGATGCGGAATCTTGTTCCGCGTTAATCCGTCACTGCGGCCACCAGTATTATACTACAGGGTGCTTGCGTCTACAGAAAAAGTACAGCTCATTCTAACTTCACCACGCACAACCACATCCACACCGCGCATATCCAGTGTAAACAGGAAGTATTAAGATTAGGAGGCATGCGTATGGGATCTACGTTTCATCAACGAAGCCGGCACAAGCTCGTTTACCATGCATAGCGGCAGCATTCTTGGCCATCTAATTTAGGTTTCACGCGGTTCAGACGCACATAAGTTATTGGAACTGAAGTATTCCGCTCCAAACTGAACGAACACATTATTTAACCATAGCAAGACCCACAGCAGCCACTAGTATTCCCCTTGTATCAAGTAGGCACCATTTCCACACTGGCATGAAGAGTAGTCAATCTTGGGAAGTCAAACAAAAGCGAACAAATGATATGCAAGAAACTCGACACACAAGTATTGAGGATTTGAGAGAGTTCCACATTAATCATATTATTTACGCAACATAATTGGATCGAAAACCATTTAGTTTACAAGCTATGCACTAATGACTCATATAACGTTTTAACTGACATGTAACCTTTGAAATGCTGGACCATATTAGCGATTCCGGAGTATTAATGAACCAGCTTGGGCAAGGGACTCGTCAAGGCAAACATTGTACATTATTTCGCTCGAATTCTATGGGTATCCTGCATCGGCGTTTGTCGCTTACACAACCGAGAATTCCTCTTTGTCGCACCGCAATGCATGTACATGTACCCGAGAAACATTCCTACTGAGTAACTCACAACTTGGGAACCTGATCAAATGTCTGTAATTCCCAACAGCCCTAATCAAAGTTAGATTTTCATAAGCGCATTTGACAGTGTCCTGGTAAAGCTACTTCAGTTTTCCCACGTTCCGCTTCCCTGTAATTTACTGGTCATTAAACAGCTGTTTCGGAATGCTGGTCGCCTCTATGCGCAGAGCCTGATAAAACCACCTTAGATGCCTCAGGAAATTAAGCGGTCAAGTGCACATATGCGGCTGCTGTAGAGCACCTCCACACAAGCAATACGGTTGGCCCTGCCGGTTCGCAAAATGGGACATAGGTATTTTTTTGATGTTGCTCCCA